CGCCAGCGACAGCAGCTAACGGGCTGCCGCCGCTCCCCTCCTCTGCTCTGCTGTTCTCCTGGTAGGTGACACATCCGCTAGCACAAGTCCTCACCACCTTCCCAAGTCAGCTGGGTCACCGCCCTGCGTATCACCCACTGAGCGTGTCCCTGGAGCAGAAAGCTCTCCAACCTCCGCTCAGGAGCTCACAGGCCCAGGTTCCCCAAGCATCCAACTGTTTGCACTCCACGTGCTTTACCACTGCTGCTTTTCCAGCTGGCCAGCCCCATCAACCCAGTGTTCCCCCAGATTCTTTCTTCCCAGCTCAGGACCCCCACCAGCAGTGGCTCACCACAGCAGTTCTCCGCCACGCTCCCCCAGCATGGCAGAGAGTGAGGCTCTGGACACCTCAGCCATTGCTCCCCTTCCACTCACCATCCCTGCGCTGGCGGTTTACGGATGTCTCTGTTTCCTGGGAAGCAGCAGCGCTGCTTCCTGCACATACATCTCTGCAGCAGCACAAGCTGTATTGCACGATGTTTACTCACAGAGGCAGCTCCCTTTCACACATCTCCATCTGCTGAAGCAGCCTCGCGTGGCAGTTCCCCACCACACAAAGGACCCCCTTGGCTCCCCGTGTTTACCCAGAGATTGACCTGCACAGAAGGCAGAGCACTGAACCTCCCAAGCTGCAAGCACTGCATCAGGGGATCATTACTGCTGCTGTGGGACCCTCTCCTCGGGCACCCAGAGATGCTGCCAGACCTTTTCCTCCTCTTGCCCCTTCCAGCAGGATCCCAAAGCCCTCCTGTATTTTAGAGCAGAGTCCCACATGTCTGCAGCAGCCACTCCATCACAGGAACACGGGAGGCAAGCAAGCTGGGTTCAGGTGACAGCTAACCCCACGAGCAGCCAAGCAAACCAAGGTGCCTAGAAGAGGCCCTCTACTCTTTCCACGAGTCCATTCTAACCACCACACACAACCCTCACACCTAGAGTTCTCCAGCATTGGACTTAGCTCTCGTTTTCAGTGCCTCTTCCCCAGATAACTTACTCCTTGCTCCAGAAAAGCACACTGAAGGTTCCTTTCCATTTCTCCTCCCTCTCTCCCAGACACTCGTGCCATCTCCGATGCAGCCTCTGCTCTCACCCAACACCCTTGTGTCTCAGCAAGTCACTAAAACCACACGCTTGTTTCCTTCGAGCGTAGGTATTCAACCGCCATCCACAGGCTACACAAAACGAGATTTTTCATCACATCACCCCCTTACTGCTTAGATTTCCCCCCCTCGGTAGGGCTTGCTCTACCAATCCTCTCCTCTCCATTTGTAAGGAAGCTGAGGAACAGCTCCGGCTGTGGGCTCACAGGAATGATTTCTGCTGCCATCTGATGGAACTACAACTGAATTATCTTTTCCAGCAGGGCACTAATCTCTCATCAGGACCCAGATATCACCCATCTGGGTTAACAGAGCCTGGCTCCTGGGCAGCAATTGCCATTTCGTAATAGCTTCCCGAAGCCCTGCTGCAGCACCGAAATGCCAAGGCAGCTCTTTCTTCCTGGACACATTAACATTTCGGTGACGAATTGGGCACCGACAGGCTGCTTGTTGTTTGGAGACAAAAGAGTCAGGCTTTTCTTTCTCACATCCACTTTCGTGTAAGCCTTTGCAGTTTCTGCCCAGCACTGTGAATGGGTTCTCCAGCAAAGCACTTCACAGCTTAATTTTCCTAGGCTGGATAAGGGAAATACTGTAAAAAACTTGAAAAGGAATTAATTTGCCTTTCAGATACTGGAACGGCATTTTCAAAGTGGTAAGAAAGGATTAGTGTCAGTGCAAACAGCCAGGTCGGATCAGAGCTGCTTGCAACGCACTTCCCTTTGTGCCCGTGTCATCCGAAGGCGGATCACCGCCAAGGAAGCGCAGGCGGCGAGCGCACACCCACGGGGAGAGCAAAATGTCTGCACAGGGCCACGCGGGTAAGGAACTCGCTGATGCCCTGAGCCATGGAATTCATCAGTCCAAGAAGAAAACAGGTTTAGGTTGCCACGGAAGTGGCCTCACATGGAGGTTTAAGATTCTTGCGGAACTGAGCGACCGTGCAAGAATGGCATTGCCAGAGTACGTTCCCCTCTCTGGTCCCCAGCGACACCATTGCAGCTTCAGCTGAGAACAAGCCTTCCTTCTACACGCACTGGAAAGAGCAATGAGGAAGGAGACCATGGCCCTTCCTCAACAAGCCTTCCTCCCACAGCAGGCACAGCGGCCCCTCTCTGATCTGAGACCCTCTCCATTCTGGTGTTCCATGGAAGAGTCAATTTCCAGTTCACCCATGGCACCTGCATGGCTCTAAGCTTCACTCTTTCTTCATTCAGAACAGAGCAAAGCTCTGCACTCTGTGCCAAGATGCTTCCTCCTCAAATGCCACCTACCAAACGCCAAGTGTTCTCCTTCCAGCACAAACCTGCCCCTGATACCCACACCGCTGTCCCCTGCGGACAGTGTCTGCCTTCCCACACGCTCCCCCAGCACCTTCCTCTCCATCAGTCTGCTGCAGGTTGTTCCTGCTCAGAAGTGACACACAGAGCTCGTCCCTCAGGCACCTCTCCCGCCCGCTCCCTCCCTCCCCAGGGACACAGCTCCTCTCCTGCCTCCTCTCCCACTGTCTTACCTCGCAGTCAAAGCCACCTCCCAGGGCGCTGACATCCATGTGCAGGTTTTTGAACATGCTCGCTGTCCCATGGAGGCTCTGAAAGTATTGAAAAGACGACGGTCAACATCGAGCTCTGACCTCCACCATCCCACAGGCCACACCGGAGGACCTGGGGGGTCCCAAGCAGTGAAAAAAGGCAGCAGAGCCATGGCAATACGCCCAGGAGATACGCCTACGGCCAACCCACTTTGGAAACAGATCACGGCAAATGCTGATTTATAGAGGAGTACTAGGAGAAAACAGGATTAGATGCTTTCTGGCAACCAAAAACCACACAGAGGAAACACAGCACAAATTAAGGCCCAGAGCCAAACAGAACCACCATGGTCAAGCAGCCATTACTGTGGGGGCATCACAGCTTCTCATTCCCTGGGGCTTCATGCACTCTGGTTACCGACACGCATTAGGAGCCAAGGCACAAAAGCTACCTCACTCTCACTTTCTTCCTCTTCCGTCCTCCCTTTATCTAGTGCCGCTGTGTTCAACAAACTCTTCTCATTGGAGACCAAGCCCAGCAACTTCTGGGTCTGGCTGGGGGCCTTACAGGTCTCTGCAGCCTGCAAAGTCAGAAGGAGAAAGGGGAGTGAGAGGACAGCCGAAGAGAGGGCAGACACAAAGGCAGGGAGGCACACTGACTCGGACACCGGCCAAGCAGGGAAGCTGCTGGATTCCAAGAAGGTGCTCGGGATTACACAGCAGCTCTTGTTCTGCACAGCCATGTCCAGCAGGGAGAGAACATCTTCCTTAGGAGGCTGCACACCAAAGGGGCTCTGCTCCCATCCCGAAGAAGCACATCTGCAAAACCTGCCGGTGCCTCACAACACTGATTCAGTCGGGAACATAATGAAGCAAAGTGTTTGAAGTCACCAGTGACAAGACTCAACTCAGCATGAAGAAAGCCTTCAGCAAAGGTGGCTTTGTATATTATTTTGCACATCTCTTGTTTTGTTTTCCTTTAAAAGATCTATTTGTTACCACTCAGAACATGGTTGTTTTCTTGATCCAAAGGGCACATTCTGTAAATGATCATTGAGTGTCACTGTAAATCTTAGTTATCCAGAAAATTGTTCTCAGCAGATGATAGTTGAGTGAAAATATTATTTATCAGGTTACCTTATCTGTACCATGTGTCACACTTCATCTGCACACAAATCAAAGTTCTACTAAATGAACTTAACAGACTTTTCCTCCCTCTAACAGTAATTAAAACAATTCTGTCCCGAGAGCTGCTAAAGATAATAGAAGAAAGCCCACCACAAATTTAGTACTAGGATCCCTAGAAGCAGCAAAAGAAAAGAAATATAGTGAAAGAGAGCAGGGAAGCGTGCTTTTGACAGAGAAAAGTATTTCAAAACAGATGAGAGATCACAAACACTGTCATTAAGCTCCTAAGCATCACCACGCCTGCCACCCTTTGCAGACCACGCTTCCCAGGGCACGTTGGCAGAGAAGAGGGAGCCTTACCCACGCTCCTCTGTTGGCTGCAAGGCTGGAGTCCACCGAGCTGCCCAGGTCCGAGTGAAGCGACCCACGAAGGATGCTGGCCGGAGCAGCCGCAGTTGGGGAGCCAGTCTCCCCAGGGGCACCGGCATGGGCACCGGCAGGGCGTCCGAGGGCTGGAGAGAGCAGAAGGGACTGGCTGATCAGAGGGCACGGGCGCACAGCTCACGCTCCTTAGGTCAGAGAGGGAGGACGTGCTCCCCTGTGCCAACACTGGCTGCTGAGACCCGTGATACTGAACCCCCCACCTCTGAAAAGCTACTGTGAGACCCCACACCCAGCAATCACCAGCCCATGAGATGCCTAAGGAACAGCTGTTGGATTTACTCCCACATGTTTGTCTTCCAAAGACTCATCTGAACACGGTGATTGACTTGACAGCAGTGAGACGATTCAGAAAAATCAACAGGCATTGCCCCAAAACCAAGAGACACGCAGCAGCCACACTCCCACATCTGCACGTGCCCCCCACCTCCTTCTGGAAGGGGCTCTTCCCCACAGCACACACCCAAGGCAAACTGGGCAGCTTCACCTCTGTTTGCCCTGCTACTCCGTGCAGCGCGGAACCCCTCCGACAGCAAGCAGCCTCTTACTCTCCACGAGCTGCAATAACCATCTCTTTTTTGACCGAATCCAGGCTGCTCCCACACCTTACACCAGCGGAAAGGTTACAGGCAGCAGAAAGCAGCTCTACTGCAGCACATCCCTAAGCAGCCCCTGAATGCACCTTCTTCAGAGCACGGAGAGCCCCGGGAGCCATCCAACATCCTCACCTCGGAGCAACACACGCTCGACATCAAGTCATCCTCACCCAGAAACGTGACCTTTCTGTTTGACTCGGGAATTCTGCACCCAGGCAGCCTCTCCCTGCCATACACCGCACAGGTTACACCAGCACCACACACATCCCAGGATTATCTTCGCAGCATGCCAGTGCTGTCAAGAGCTGTTGCTTCAGCAGAGCACGTGTGTACTCAGAAATCACAGCTCCAGTGCCTGCACAAGTCCTTGCCACAGCAATGGCAGCAGAATAAATCACACATTCTGGCCCTAATTATTGCCTACAGCTGGCCTTTCACTACAGGAATGGAGCAGAGGACACCAGCTGTCCTTCAGCAAAGACAAACTCGCTTCCATCAGGCTAATTAAAACTTCCAGGATAATCTGCAGTTTACCTGATATTTATAGGCATAGTTCTTACCAGCTAAGGGAGCGCTGCCACATGCTGGTAATGAGAAACCTGAGCCAGTGATTTGGCCGAGCCGCAGCTGGGTCCCAGCAGCAGCAGAGCAAAGCCATTCGTTAACACAGAGCAAAGCAATTCGTTAACTCATTTTTTCTCTTCAAAACAGGAGATTTGGTAAGGTCGTATTAAATTGAGGCAGTTACTTATGGGCAGAGACAAAACAACCTGGGACGCTGCTCCTAGTGAGGGGCAGGATTCTGCTGTAGGCAGAGGGGAAGAGTTTGGGCAGAGCAGAGCAAAACAGTCCAGCTATTCCCAGAAGGAGACAGCTACATTTCTAGGTGGGCCCCATCACACCTGCAAGCCATCTCGTGTCCTACAACCACAGCAGCAGCCACCCCAGGACTCAGCTGTGCTCAGACAAGTCAGTACAGCACCCACCAGCAAAACCATGGTCTGCAGCCACCAGGAATACTCCTTCTCTGTTTGAGAAAGCCAATTCATACTTTTCCCCATTTTTTTTCCCCTTTCATTTAAGAGGGAAGAGAGTCCACTTCTTAAGGCACTGGCCATGGATGCAGGAGAGCGGCTGTAACTTATGGGTTTTTATGTCATTTCAACCAACTCAATCACTCTGGGACTTGAGACTCAGCAAGCAAAATAGAGTATTTGACCCTGCCATCCCACTTGCTTTACTGCCCATCACCTGTTTCCAGCTCAGAAAGCAAGTTACTTTGGTTGTTTTTTTTTTTCCTTCTCTGAGCTACCTCCTGAGCTTTAGGTAAACCACTAAAACTAATGCCACATCTGCTTACGTGACCTCCAACAGGATGTTTTTGCCCCTTTTCTCCTGAACCCCAGCTTAGAAGCAAGACTTCACTCTCCAGTTCTCCAGAAGCATTTGGAAACAATGGAAAGGGACAGGGACTGCTGCTGCCCTGGCACTCAACCTGCAAGTCTGCTGCGACTTTCCCTCCCCACACTCCAGGAGCTTGATCCATCCTTCTGGTGCCTCTTTTCACTTCTTTTTGCACTCCAGCACCATCAGACTCCTGGGCAGTGCATCTCCCCCAAAAATCCATCCGAAGACTAACGTGTTCGGGTTCTGGGCTGGGGCCTCTCTCACTTTCCTGCAGCCTGTGGCACAGTTCCACAGCCCCGGAGCTACGCTCCCGCTCCGACTGCTGGCCAGGATGGAGCACCTGAGCTGGGGATGACCCCAGGAGCAGGTGAGGCAGCAGAGGCTCTGCTGTAGTAGAGCACAGGTCCTTCCATCTCCCAGACACGCAGCATGGAGAGGAGTGACAGCTCACTCCCCGTACCTGGGGGCACAGTTATGAGAACTGGCTGAATGGCTGCTACCACACTCCGATATCAAACCACTTCCTTAGTCATTTCTCCAGCCATCTTTAGCAAACGAAGAAAGATGTTTTGATATTAAGATCCACCACAGAACAAAGATCCACATCAATTACCCTCTTTGCACCTGCTCCTAAGACACAAGGCAGTACAGGTGTGATCCCCTGAAGGACTGCAGCATGGCTCTCTAGCACACCTTCACTGCTGTCTGCTTCTACACCTGCTCCTATTTCCCTCAGCTCCAGCTGCTCTAAACCCTTTCTCTCAGGTCAGCTGATGGTCTCGTTGCTCTTGTATAGACCATACATTTTATATATCAACAGGTGTGTCAACTTTTGAGCACTTGAAATTACATGTATACATATAAAAGAAAAATACTCCAATTGAGGCTTGCTGAATTGAAGAGGTCTACACCTTGACCAAGAACACAAGGCACCAGCTTTCCCCTTGGAGATTTATCTCTTTACTGGCAAACAGAAGGTAGGGATGATTTGCTATCACTTGAGATATAAAGGGAATTTGGTTATGCTTGCAGATACCAACAGCAAAGCAGACTAACCTCACACATCACATGTGTGATCACTGCACAACCACCATTCCTTGTCCTCTCCAAGGAAGGAAATCTTTCCAGCACTACAAATATCTGCTGCAAAGATTAGCACCAGCATCCTTGGCTGGTGCCATATCCTTCTCAGTGATAGCATCACCCCAACTCCAGATGGGCCCTTCTGAACCAAAACTTCCCAACTCTTGATGGGTTTATGACTCCATTTCTGTTGGATTTTCATCAAACTCACAACCCTGCTGGACAGGATCCCTTGTCAGGGGACCACTGTTCCGACCTCAAAGCAGTAAGAGCACAGGATCACTTCAATTCACAGCCACTTGTTCATCCTCCACCCAGCCCTCTTGCTCCTCCTCAGAAGCACCACAAGCAGCAGAGCCTCCTCACAGCGTGTTGCTTCAGTGACTGCTTTTCCTTCTTGTCCTTTTTGTCTTTCTTCTCTTTCTTTTCCTTCTTCTTCTCTTTCTTTTTCAGGCTGCCACGTGCCAGCAGCTTCTCTCGCTCCTGAACAACAAGCGCTCTGTAGTGATCATCACAGGGGTGGTCCCACGTGGACTGGCCCGTGGCAAAGTTGAAGTAGTAGATATCACCAGTGGTGTCCTGGCTGCAGGGCAAAAATGGCATGAGAAGCTAAAGCAATACTTGCCCATCCACAGGAAGAACATCTGTTGCAGCATTCCCCCCCCCACCAGCTGGTACCCAGCTCTGCCAGCTCTGTGGGCAGCACACAGCAAGGGAAGGGCAGGAATCGAAGAGGACAGCTGCCGACAGGGCTCTCACCAGGGCTTCCACTCCATGGGTAACGGGGCCACGATGCCTTCCCTGGCCAGCCACATCAGCTCGGGCTCCTTCTCGGGGTCAATCCCGATCTCCCGTGCAAAACTCTGGATTTCTAGGAAAACGGAAGAGGAACCTGTGGATGCAGGCACTACGTAACAAAGCCCATCTCCTCAGCTAAAGCAAGAGAAGCTGCTCAAAGCTGCCAACACAGCCCTGGGACTGCAAGTATGTCCTACCAGGCTGGTAAAGCAGAGAGACAGACCGAAAAATGGCATTTATCTTTGCAAGCAAAAAGTTAATTTTTCAGCTCCACATCCTGTGAAATCTCATTTACTGTACCCTCTCTACTCATGCTCTCCCGATTCCAGTTTCCTCAATACAACTAGAAGTGACTCGTGTGTTTGAATCCTCCCCCAGGGAGGACAGGCACGGGTTACCTTGTTCTTTGGGAACGTAGGTCTCATCGTAAGCTTCTTCCAGGATAAGCTGGTCACCAATGCACACCAATGCTCCTGCCATGGCTCCCTGCACCTGGCAGCACGAAGGAACACACGCAAAAATCACAACCAGCAGCCACACTCTGAAATAAAGCTTCCTCATCACACGGCACGTGGCAGAGCCCCGCAGGAAACTCGGCACCGGAGCTGTGGAGGGGAACACGGTGTGCTGGGGCTGCCAGGCATGGGTGCAGATGGGAAGGGCAGAGAGCAAAGGCAGCCAGAACTGATGGAATCTGGTCAAAGCAGGAGGACACAGCTAAAAGCACTGGGCAGCGAGCTGCAGCTCAAAGTGAATTAACAGCACAGAAGGAGGGGAAGAAATATTTCAGTATGTACAAGCACATTTCCTCACCTGCCCTACAAGAGGCAGAGGCTGTTGGCACTTAGTTCTGCTTTATGGTTTATTCATTTGGTGACAAGGAGACAGATCCCACCTGCTGACTGGGCAGTGCCCGGACACGCCATGCAGGGCACAGCCAGGGGCTCTGCCCTGTCTGACCCCCACCCTGCACTCCAGGGGGAGGAAGCTGCCCCCATCACACCACCCACGACCCAATCCACCCCAAAGGAAGGAAGCAAGGCACACGAGAGGGTACAGCTCTCTGCTCAGAGCTCTTCCGCTGCACGCAGCAAAGCCGAACCAAAGGCTTTCCACGCACACTTCACAGCGGCTGGGGACACAGAGAGCGGAGCTGAAGTGCCACAAAAGTTATAACCAGGCTTTCAGGCTTCTACAGAGGAGATGAGCACTTGCTTCGGGGACTTTTTAAACAGGCAAGAAAGAAGCTGACACAAGAACGGGAAAAAAGAGAAAACAGTTTTCCCAGAGCACAGCACGGCTTTGAGAGCAGTCCCTGGGCTGTGCCAGCACCGCCCTTCTCTCCATGCCCTGCTTGCCTTGGCCTCTCCTGCCTTCCCAGAGGACGGTTCAGAAGCTACGAAAGGATCCTAATTTATCGCGTCCCACCCCTGGAGGACTGCTTTGCTATTTAACTCCAAGACTGTAGGCAGCTATTCAGTCCTGCTACAGCTGGGCTGTTACAACCCCTTCACCGCAGGTTTAGGCAGCTGCAAGTTCATTTCCCGACCCCAAACACCCTCAGCTGTGGCTCTGCACAGCCACGCTTGGCCAGCACTAGCCTCCCACAGCCAGGGCAGGGGGCTGAGCGGGCTCCCGGTGCCAGCACCACCCGGGGGGGACCGTGAGCCCACAGCAGGAGCGCGGGCAGGGCTGTCCCTCCCCGTCCTGCTGCTGAAGCACACATGGAGGAGGTCGGGCTAGCTTCTGCCCTAAAGCCCCGAAACACACGCACGAAGC